CCATTGGTTTTTGAGCACATGATAAAACAGATACTTTGGAGCACTCCACCCTCCAGATCTGGCACTGTGTCTTAATAGATTCAATAAAAAACTAGTTCCTTATACAGTCATGAAATACAGAACACAGAAATCAGAAAATACATTGTAAGGCAAACTGTGCTCAACACCATTCTGTTCTATCTTTTTACATTGCAATCTTGCTTAATCATAGGTGCCTAAAGGACATGTTTGGTTAGAAGGTGATAATCTCAGGAATTCTACAGATTCCAGGTGCTATGGACCTGTTCCTTATGGACTGATAAGAGGACGCATTTGGTTTAAGGTATGTATATTTATAGTATCTAAAAACAGTTGCATTTGTAGTTCCTATTAGGTATTTAAAACTTACCTCCCTAACTGGCTGGCCAAAGAAATGTGAAGGAAAGCTTGAGCACAGTGGCCACTTGCTGTAAAGGATAATTCAGTGGCAGTGGGGGTTTTTCTGAGCAGCACTCTTTGAGCTGAAACTGCCTCTGAAAATAGATGAGTTGTTTTGCAAGCACATCCAAACCTGATAAAAACACACCCATAATCTCCTCCCCCCATATACCCTACTGCACAGATGTACATTCCAACCTTAATTCAATCCTTGCCTTTGCAAAATGGTAGGAAAGGGCAGCTCCATATTTCACTGCTATAATTTGGAAAGCATAGTTCAAAATACAAAATGGAGGGTAAGGTTATCCTTCATACACTTTAGACAGGTAGACTAGCCTTGCTGCTACTTAAACTAAATCTGTGAAAGACCCTTAACAGTAAAGTCAAATCTCTGCCACCATAATTGTCCACCACATTTGTATTTAAGAAAAAAAAAGCTCTGAATTAAAATTGGATTGTCTAAACCTCCACAGTTTCTCCTCCGTTTCAACAGTTCTACAGCTTTACTTCACACTAAATTATTTTTTCATATTATCTGCCCTATTAATTTTTCTCATTTACCAAAAAGAAGAAACTAACACAATTTCCTCTCCATAAAAAGTTTAATCTAATGAAAAAGGGAGTTTGTATTATAGACTTATGCACCAGCTTTTAGAAAGCTAGCTTTAAAATGGTGCCATTTAGAATAAGGGTTTGAAAACTCTTCTCCATATATTGAAACACAGCCACAAACACATAATTCAGCACAGCTGTATTACATGCAATTTAATATTTATAGATTTAATTTACAGTTTTAATGAACAAAACTTGAAAGTTTTCAAAATAACCTCACTAATTGTTTACTAAACCTCAAATAACATGTCCTGTTCAGCACCACCACCAAGTTCTGTCTGATCTCTGTTCTGTCTGGATAGCAGTTGCCTTGAGTTCTTCCCTAGTGTTTATTGAGTGCTCTCTGTTCGTAATCTATATTGTTTGCCTTAACCTTGTACACCAGAGGAAGAACACTGATTCTAATATGGCTATTTGTGTGACCCAGGTTTTAGCTTGGATTGCTAACTGCTAAAATACAAATGATGCTAATATGCTGATGGCCCTCTTTATGAAAATGTGGTATTAATAATCCAACTGAAAAAAAAGTTTCCGACTATACACTAGTATGGAAAAAACCAACTGGTTACTACTTTAAGGGGACTGTTAGCAAATTATTTCTTAAGAACCTGTGTCTGTGGACAGCTGTAATTTTGAGACTTGAGTGAAGTGACTGATGAGACTGAACCCTGAATTTTAGCACACAGCAAACTCTGTAAAATGAGTGGAACTTACACGCAGATATTCCATACTGAAGAAGTGCTTTAGGACTCTAGAATATTGTCTGTTTAAAAAGATAGTACACAATCACTTGATACTTAATCAAAATAATTAAGCAAATTTTATAGCAGCTATTTTATGACAGTGCACAGAGTAGTGATTATTAACATTTTAATGAGATTTAAGTATATGGTGCCTAACAAAAGCAAAAATGAGTTTGTTCTCCAGATGAGTGTTTATAATTTGGATTGTTGATGGTAATTCACATTAGAATACAATGATCTTGCTCTTATGTCTTGCTGCTGAACATTACATTGAAAGGCAGCAGAACACAGCCAGTCTGCCTGGTGGAAGCTAACGAGACCACTGGCCAAGAAACCTACATGTGTTTTTAATGTAGTCTGCTAGGTGTTTAGCTTCTCCTTCATGTAAAATCTTTTACTGCCTCCAGAATGGAAGCTTATGTGACTTCATCTTAAAGTGCATTCTGGAGGAGAAGATAGTAACAGTGGCTTTCGATGCTAAGTTATGTTTTCAGTAATGTATGCAAAAACCCAAATCTATTTGGAAGTCATGGATTTCGACAGAAGAGAGTAAGCTTATACCAGGCTTGTTCAGGCATCCTATTCTTGGCAAAACATAAATGGTAATACTCTGTGTGGCTTACCAGTGAAGTTCAGACCTAAGATGCGCACCAATGCTGGCTGCAACAGTGTTTAACCCAATCAGAACTAATGACATTTAATTATATTTGCCCCTTTTTCTCCATGCCGCTCTGAGAGGTTAGCTAATTCCATGAAAAGGCTGCTGCAGATTCAGTAGAGGCTGAGGGAGTCCCACAGTGACAGAATTCGAGCTTCATCCTCCCCTAGGTAGGAGATCTGGTGCATTCCCTGGGCTTAGGCTCCATGTCTAAAATGGACCTGTCGTGTATCTTCAAAAGAGCTAGTTACCCCCATTCATCCCCCATCTATCAGATCAAATACATGTAGGCCAAACCAACGAAGGCAAGGGGAAATAACTGCTAATTGGACTAGCCAGTTTGAACAAATAAGCCACAGTCAACTTCTGTTATAACTTGGACTTGCAAATTACTACACACAGCAGCATGTCTTTGTTTCACAGAAGAGGCTTGTTCCATCTTATTTCCAACCACTAGTACTGTTTCTCACATTCTCTCCTGCGTGCAGACTAGATAAAGCATCATTTCTGTTCTAACTCTACCACTAAGATTACTGTATGAATTTGAAATGAAATTGTCAAAACAATACTTAAAACAAATCTAAGGCTCCTTCTGTACTGTGGCTGTTCCATGAACTCCGTTAAAGAGTTCTTTCTCTGTCTAGATCACTTCATGTTGAGCAGTGGCTGTGTGATTTTTATGGGACTAGAGTCACTGAGGGCATTCATTCTTCAGCATCATCTCTTTCCCTTCTTCCTGCTATCCCCTTGTGCCACCTTTGAAACAAGTGTTGCGAGGAGACACAGTCAAGGGAGACAAAGGACAAAGCATAAAAGAATGTCCTTGATTCCCTATTATTTTCTTTTGTTTTGTATCCAAGACCAGCCAACATGTAATTAGTGAATGTTAAGAGCACAGTACTCCTGGGAACGTTCAGGTGTATGAACAGCTATACAGGTAATTTCTGAAGAGAAGGTTTTTCTCTTGCTGGTGAGCATCATTTTCTGACACTTATACTTTGTCATGATTTGTGCTCCTTTTTTACATAGCAGTCCCCTTCTCAGAGGAGCCCCCCCTGGTTGAAGAGCCCCTGATGGTGTCAGGCACTCCACCCCTTTATACCTTTTTGTATGGGATAAGCTTATCTACAAGTCTGTGGAATTTTATTCCAGGGTCTGGTGTTTGTAGTCCAAATGCCCATCCAGAGGTAACCTTTGTGGTATCCTTCTCCTAGATGGATCAAAATACATACTCTGTCTTTTAAGTTAAGAGGTTTACAAGGTAGAAAACTTTGAATTCAAAAGACATTCTAGGAATGTATTTATTTCAAAGACTGGAAAGAATATTGTAATTTGTGAGGCCCCAGTAAAGCACACTGTGAATAAATTAGTGTTGTCTATGGCTGCCATGGAATGATGATTCCTCCTGATATACAGCATTTGTCGCTTCTAGGAAAGGAAACATGCAGGTGAGAGAAGTTCACATACCATCACCCAAAAAGCTGAAAAATTATAGTTAATAAAATGATTACAACATTGAACTGAACTTTTGAGTTGTGATTAAAATTTCTTGTAACTGTATTTTATTTCACAGATATGGCCTCTGAATGACTTCGGATTTCTACGTGCAAGCCCCAATGGCCATAGATTTCTGGATGATTAAAAGATTTAAGTGACTACTGCCAGCTTTCCTAGTATTTTCTACTAAAATTAATGGAACTGTTTTTGTTTAGAATAAACACAAGTATGACTTGATAAGGAGGTCTCTTTCTGAGATTACATCTAACGAAAGTGGGAATGATACACTGCTGTCATCAACAAAACCTGCCTCTTACCATTTCCTCTGGCTGTTTACAGTAAGTGCTTGAATTTATTAGAAAGATTTGGGTTTTGCTGCAAGCCAAGGTTAGCACTGACTGTTAACAAGGGATGAAAAAGGCACAATGCACCCAGAGCTGCACATAGGCTGTGCCTACAGTAGGAAGTAGTGTGGTCTGCTAGGATTAGGACTGAAAACAGTAATGGTGGGGGTTCTGGATCTGCTCACAGGAGTTTTGTAGGGTTTAGTTACCCAGAGGCCTGTGTGCCTTGTAGGGGTCAGAGCCCGGCTTCCTCTTTATTTTTTACCTAAGGAATGAAGGCTGCATTTGTTCAAGATGGAGACAGTGAGTTCAAAACTTGCTCCTTCTCCAAGCTGGAAAGCCAGTGCAGATGCACTGTCAGATGTGCACAGCCACTGGACCTGCTACGTATTACTAAGAGAATCAGCCTGCCTGACCTGCAAGTCTCTGCCACCTCTTTCCAAGGCTCAAGTCCTTCTGAGGACTTCCATACTGAAGTTAAATATTTAATATGGAAATAGAAAATGTTCCCATTAATGCACCTTACTTTTTATTATGTTCAAAGCATTCTCACATCTATGGGTGCTAATTAAATTTTGTCATCTGAGCTGTTAAAAGGATTTAACCTAAGAGGTGGGACCTGGGCTAGAGTTGATACAGACTGAGACTGAAAGAAGCTACTCCATTGTTTACTAGGAAAGAAATGTCCTTTAGATCATGAGATATATTACCGTTGTACAGAACTCAGTGTTCTGTTCTGGAGGTTTTTATTAACTAGCTCTTTAGCTGCAGAAGGAAAACCAAGCCTCATATCTGCAGAGCTATGTTAGCTAATGTGCATGTTTCCTTTCTTAAGCCTAATTGAACTTGTCCTGTCCCCTTTTCTTTAGCATACATTCCTTTAGCAGATGCTGTCCCCCATTTGTCCAGTCTTTTTACAAATTTGTAACTCTTCATGTGCTTGATGGAAACAGTCATTGAAGGATCTCGATTACGAGTGAACATGTGTCACAACAAACCAAAGATACGTCCTTGATTTCATTCTTGAAGACAGTGTATTTCCCGCCACATCGACATGGGAGAGTGTAACATTGTTCATCTGCCAAAAAGAAAACAAAAAAGCCTTTAGTGCTTGAGAAGAATAAAGAATTTATTCTGGGTTTTCTTCACAAAGCTGATCTTAATATAACAAATGACCTCTCATTGCTGGATTGTAGGTATCGGTACCTGGGGTACCATTTATTGCTCAAAAGATAAATCTACTCTTAAACTGTTTCAATGACTGTGAAGTATTCTTACACCAGCCAGCCAGGGTCAATGTGGTCTCTCTACAAAAGCAATTAATAAAAAGGTGCACATCAGTGAAACAGATATTAAGAGAAAAAAATAGAGCTGTTAGTCAGAAATAACAACAGATCAAGGATGGTTCCAAACCAGAATGCTAGCCCAGAAAACAGATGTAAAACAGAAGAAAGGAAAGCTGACAGGATTTTCCCCTCACTGCTTAAAGAAATGGTAGAAAACCCAAAACCAAACACAAAAAATCCCCAAAACCAAACCCCCTCAGCCATTAATTTAAAAAGCAATTAAATGATAAAAGCTGGAGTATCATGAGGGAAGTAACACACAGATATTACGAAAATATTTAGAAAAAAAATCTGTATGAAAACACCTGAAATTTTGCCGTCATAGAAAGAGCCAAAAGATGCACAAGAGATCTGAGAAGAATCTGGAAATCTAACCACTCAATTATACAACAAGGAAAGAGCTAAGTGAAAAGTGGTACTGCAAGTGGGGCAGGGAAATAGAGGAGGAATGCAAAATAAGTACTACAGAAACTTAAGTTCCAATTCAGGTAATCATAGAGAACAGAACAGCTAAAAAGCTGAGAAAATACAAAACAGTAGAACTTAGAGACAAAATGATGGTATAAGATGTAGGAAAAAAAAATAAATACTTCTGCAGTGACAGTGAAAGGCACTGGGAACAAGTATTAAGGCACTCGTACCTTCATTCCAGGACATATCCTCAAGGGAAATCTGTGCATGTAGTGGCCATTCTTTTGTCAGATTATCTTCTATAAAGAAAACATGGCACATGTTCAACCCTGATAACAACAGATCCTTATTTCTTCCTGATCAATGACTAGTTTTACATACCCAGCAGTCATGTCTGGTTCCTACTAGAGAGTCAATTAAAAATGCAGTTCTCTAAAACTTTAGTTTCCATGTCTCTGCATAAGCTGAAAAATGTTCTGCTGTACCCAGAAGTAAAAGGTGAAGCCACATTCTTGAAATTAAGGCATGACTGAAAACAGCAGTTCCACACATCCCAAACAATTATGTGAACTAGGAACAAAATTTAGTTTTGATAAAACCTTTTAAAAGCCTGTCTGTAACTACAACTCCACAAGCTGGAATTGGGAACACCTGCTTACCTGTACCTGTCACAAAATCAGGGAATGGCTGAGGTCAGAAGGCATTTCTCAAGATCAAATCCTCCTGCACAGGCAGGGTCAGCTACAGCAGGCTGCCCAGGATCACAGCCAGTTAGATTTTAAGTATCTCCACACATGGAGACCCCACAACCCCTCTTAGGCAACACATTCTCCTTTAGAAAGGGGAAGCCAAGTAAACCCCCCCAGTAAACAATTTATCAGCACATTCATATTTGGTGTACAATAAAGGACAGAAACCCCTTACAATTTGCTACACAAAACCTCCCAGCTGCTGCCTGTAAGCTCCAACTCCCCAAATGCTGCATTTTGAAGAACCAAAAATACCTAAAAGCATCTTTAGCACATACACAGAAATGCCCTAGATTTTGCAAGACTTGAAAGCTTAGCACTTACTTAAAGTTTAAATGGAGTTGTTATTGAGAAAGTAGGTGCTCCATCTCTTGAAGCAATGAATCTAAGATTGATAAGTTTGGTAACATCAAGCTTTCTAGAGCATGTGGTATTGTCTACAGCTTTCTGTGGAAATTCAGTTGGCAGTGAAAGTACATGCTGAAAAAGGCAGAGGCCCAGATTGTTTTGTTATTTTAATTCCCAACCTAATCACTATATTGTAGGGTATTCTAAATGTTTCCGAGCTTCTTCTATGTAGCTTCTCTTTGCTCTGGATTGAAAAGAGACCTTGCAGCTATCTCCTCCGCTAATATCCCAGAAAAACTGCCAAAAAATGATACCAAATGTGGGATGAGTTATCAGTGACATAGTGACTCGGAAGAGACATATATGAGTTGGCTTAATTAACTATCAGTTGATTTCACACATTAACTATGTAAAGCAAGCTATGTGCAAGTAAGATTCCTAATTTACAACAAAGGAGTGCATGGCTCCATCAGAGCAGAGTATCATAGGTGGAAGATTTAATGTAACTTGCCAGTAGTGAAATGAACCCTTTGCATTTTAGCTAAATCTTATGTATGTGTGTGGCAAAGAGTTAATAAGTTAATACATTTGGGGTTTTAAATTAGACATTTAAGGCCAGTTAAAAAAAAACAAACACAAAACAAAACAAACCCCAACTGTCAAATATTAAGTCTTAAAGTGGGATTTCACATAGAACAAGTTATATAGGATTGGAGGTGGAGGACTGGGTCATGTCTTACCGGCAGGAAATGCAAAAGGGCAGGTGAACCATATGCTCACCAAAGAACTGGTAAGACGCAAGCTGATGAGGTTATTATGCTTAAAGTAAAGTTACTCACAAATCATTGAATCATTTAGGTTCAGCTATTCAAGTAATGAAGAGGAAAGCTATGGGAAAATCTACACTCTCTTCCAAACATAGTACAATATTAAGGCTTGGGAGCAGAATTTCAACCAAGGTTTTCTAATTCACTACTGCAGTTGTAATTTTGAAAAGAAAAAATAAATAAGCAAAATTAATTACATAATTCCCAGACTGAACTGAGATTATTATTCCCAGTCTGATGCTCCAGTCTGAAAGACAACTGGCTTATGGGCCATCTCAAAAAATGTGAACTGTTAATTAGTACTCTTGACTTGAGTAAGTCTCCAAATTCAGCACATAATCCAGTAACCCTCGTCAGTCAGTTTTATATGCTGCATTTATCTGCTTCCCTCATGCAGGCAGGAGAAGCTTACTTTCCAGAGTTGAGCAAAGCTTTACTTTCTAGTTCACCCATTAAATACAGAACCCAGCAGAAATAGATGCAGCCACTTATTTAAAGAGAGAGGCACAGCCCAGTGTGAGTTTGGAGAGTTTACAAGCAGAACTGCAAACCAATGGTTTTCACAGAGCGTGTTAGTGACTAATATTCTTCCTTATTTCATCTCTATCATTATTATTACAACCAGGGCTCTCTCACTGGTGGTTCTGTGAAGTAAACCTGTATCTGCTTTTCACTCCTTTGCCAGAAGGAAAGTTATTTAAGACTGGTATTGTTACCAGTGCTGAGTTACAGGGTAGGTTTACTCACACATGACGCCTACTCAACCTGCAGAACTCTGTGTACTGAGTTGTACTATGTAAAACACATTCCTGTACATACAGGGGAAATTGTGAAGTCCTGGTTATCTACAATAGCTTGAAAAACAAATGTTAATTCACAAGTACAGCCTGCCTGGCTTTGCCATCTATTGGATTTGTCTGACAACAAGAACTGAAAGGATTCTGCAGCTCCATTGTCTCAACTGCAGGATCTCAGAAAACACTGGCAGGCTCATCAGAGAGGTTTATGAGCCTGCAATTCAAAGAGATTAAAAGGAAAAATCTACGGAGATTCTTTCAGGCTAAAGAACAACATTAAATAACTATTAGCAGCTTGGTTCAGTAAAGCTTTACTAGAGCCCTTGCTGGGTCATTCAGAAATTGTAAAAGAGGAAAGGTATTTAAGTTTCACTTGAGGATACAATAAATATTTCTTGGGCTATTTAAGGCAGAGTTTTAGGGAAAGGGTTGCAAGCAGTGAGTGGAAATTTCACCCTTTTAACAGTTTATGGTAATAGTAAAAATAGTCGCAATACTTAAAGATTTTTCTAGCTTTTTATCAGTCATACAGTCTTCAAATTCATAAAAATTCAAGATATGTATATTCAATCAAATACTGTCCATAGTACCTACTCGGTATCAAAATCTGCACAGTTCTCAAAACCTGGATGTCTTTGTCATCTTCTTCTAATAGACTGTTTAGTTTTTAAATGATTACTGACGTTCTAGTCTCTCATATTAATTCAAACTAACCATGCCTACTTCAATTGCAAATGATAAAAAAGTCATGCATTAAGAATTTCCATAACAAAAGCCATATTTGTTAAATAAAATAAATACTGCTTGACTCGTAGCCAGTGCAGATCAGAATTAACTCCAAAGAACTATGAACAAGGGTTGTGTTCCAGCACTAGCTGAGGGTCTACAGCCCTAAAAATCCATGGCTAGAGAAGGAATACATACTTCTGTGCCTTCACAAGTAGCACCTGGCAGAATGAAAAGCCTGAAGTAATAGCCATGGGAAGATCTTTATTTTGGTCTGAATTTTTTTTTAAAAGAAGGAATTTTCTTAACAAGGAACCACTGAACTATGCTGCATTAATTGTTTTCTTTTCTTATAATTAGGTAGGGAAGGTGTTCAATTGCCATTCCTGCTACTGAAAGCATTTTTGTAGATTCTTGTCTCGCTTCTCCTGCTTACTCTTAGGGAATCTGTAAGGTTATTCTGGCATCCTATTTATCACATTATGTAAAGTATCTTGGTATCTAATACAGTATCATCACTTTATTGCCAGAGCAGGAGGGAATGATGGATCAATGGGGAAGCAACCATCTCTAAACCAGCCTTTTCAGTTTACTATACTAGGAGAGGAACAGGGAAGGAGCAGGGGGAGAAGCAGCTACCGTTTCTTTAGCTTGGGTTTTCATTTTCCCACTTTATGACCACACCTGTGTAAGCCTCCCTTTCCAAACCTGCAGCAGAAACTTCGAGTGAGGACAGCTCCTCAAAGATTTTTTTTCAGGTTTTAAAGAAGATTGGTATTGCCAGTGAAAGCTGAATTAGTGACCAGATATTTTAGCCTAACTAAAGGTTTTTCTTGTGCCTCACTGACTAAAGGGAAGATACATAGTGGATGGAACCAGACTCCTCAGACACAAACAGCGGAAGCTGCAACAGTAGCAATTCCAGTTAGGACTTGTAATTTCTCACATAGAATCACAGAGTGGTTTGGGTTGGAAGGGACCTTAAAGCTCACCTACTTCCAACCACCCCCCTACCACAGGCAGAGACACCTTCCACTAAACCAGGTTGCTCAAAGCCCCATCCAGCCTGGCCTTGAAATCTAAGAAGTGAAGCAAGAACTAAAAAATGATGCTGGAATATCTATTCATGGATGAAAAATGCATCTGTAATATTTTTCTAAAAATGTAATTCCAAATGTGAAAATGAAAAGGAGGTATGTCCTGAGATGTGAAAACTCCTCCTTGTGATTACACCCCCACCCTATAAACACCCGGGCTCTATGGATACCTCTGTCCATCATCATGTAAAAACATATTATCCAGCATAGAACCTCACTGGAGCCATACATGGAAGATTCCCTAGATTCTTAAAAGAATTTCTGCACCCTCTGCCCCCAAAACAGAGCAACTGGTTTTAGTGTTAATCCCATGACTACCTTTGAATTATTTGCTACATTAAGTGATTTAATTTTAATTGCAACCTTTCTGTTCATTATTCAATCAGGTTGGACAGGGCTTGGAACAAGCTGATCTAGTGGAAGGTGTTGTTGCCCATGGCAGGGGCTTGGAACTGGAGGAGCTTTAAGGTCCCTTCCAACCCAAACCAGTCTGGGATTCTCTAATGAGGAAAAAAAAAAAAAAAAGTCCATTCTTAATAGGTAAATTGTTATGCAGCTTTTTTTTTTCCACCCCCTAAGTTTTACTTTTTCTCTCTGGCCTCTCCCCCTTGCCCCCCCAGACTGAAAGCAAAACCCTTTAGCATTATAACGGGATATTCTTATATGTCATGAAAGATATGACAAAGAAATGAACTGAAATATTTTCACAAAATGGAAAAAGATAGTTCTCCAATTTCCAGACCAGAGAGGCCTGGAAGAGTATTTCAGCCAAACTTCTAAATGGTTTGGGGTTTGTCCTTTCCTCTTTAATACTATGGCCTGAAGGCACAGAGAAATAAGTAGGACAGCATAGCAATACCTTCAGAGAAAAGCATTATTAAGGTATGAAAGCACATTCACTTGTTATTCTCAACGATTCAAACAAGCAGGAAATTAAAACCATAGAGCCCCACACTTTCAGCTTCCTGAAACGTCTCTGGCCACTGAGTTTCTGAGTCAAGTAATTAAGATTTAGTTAGTATAACACAAGAAGGTAAACACAAATAATCTGTGACTTGGGAAGAGGACTACAGTGCAAGTGACTTGTAGCCAGGCACATGTGCACGCTGGCATCCTTCAGATCCTGCTTCCTGGGCCTCACAGTCCTACTAGCTCGCTGTATTATCTCCCTCATCACTATTCCCCTTAGCTGCTGTCTCCGTTCCTTTGTTTGTGTAAGCTTTTACAGCAGTGTCTACGACTTAGTCTAGAATCATGACTTTAGAAGCAGCTTGACAAGCATTCAAAGAACCAGAATTTATTTCACCATCATTTTGCTGCCAGGGAACACACTGCAAAGAATGCAACAATACTGCACATGCGTGTTACATGTGGCTTAGTCTGAAACACCTGATCCCCTGTGAATGGCACCCTCTATATTAAAATACATCTATTCCATTACCAAATACCTGTGTAAATAAATAATTTGTTTTCTTAATTTACTAAGTCTTTTTTATAGGATCTTCAAGTGACTTTTTGAAGACCTCATCTGCATGCAAAAGAACCTCAGGAAATATAGGTAACCTTTAAAATACTTTGGAATGAGTTTTGTCAAAACTAATTTATAGTAATGTCCTTATATTCCATGGGAAAACAAAGTTACTTACTAAATCTTGATGTAGCTCTCAACTTCAGTGGATTAACTTGACCCAAGTGAAATGGAACTCTGTATTTAAGCTTTATTTAAAAATCACTAGATACAGAGAAGGTTTCTCACGTGACCTCTAATATTTCTTTTTTCCTGTGCATGTACAATTTGTGACAACGGAAGACACAGCTGATATGACAGTGCCAGGAGTACAATAGGATGAGAGCACTGGGTAGCAGAAATTCCTCTTCTGACATCACATTCAGGCATTTAAAAAATAAATTTGAGATGAAAATGTGTTTATGTTGGACCTTAATCCTGTTTATGTGACAAATCAGCGCAACATCCAATTTTTTTCCCCATCCTTTTAAACTATTTCTTCAATGATTCTGTTTTCACCCCTCCACCCTCTCTTCCAAAACCCAAACAAAGTGTGAAATACAAGATTATCTAACTAGAGAATTCATACTAGGTATATACAATTATGTATCGCTCTTTTTATCCAGCAGTAATGCATATCTGCCAGAATGACTAAGTCTTTGTCTGTAAGTTGTGGTACCCGCAGCGGCAGGGGAGTTAAAAATCAGCACAAGAGAGAAGGGTCTGATGGTGTGCCAGTGTACAATGGAAGAGAATTCAATAACAAGCTGCAGAGACAGCGGGCTTTTATCAGACACATTCAGAAGTGGTGGTGGCTACACGTCAATGCAAGACCAGAGTGTGTTACTGCAGAGTGCAACTGAGTGTTTTCCCCACAGGCAATACACTATTATTGACTCCCCCCCATTAACATGTAGGGTGGATATACATTTATTGAAGGTTCTAATGGAAGGCTGAGGGACTCCTATCCTGAGGCCAGAGCAGAAAGACAGCCTATCACTTCATGTAATGGTAGCCCATGTGTGACAGACCTGACCTACATTTCCCCCCTTTCTTTCTCACAACAGCCTGTCACTGTTTTAAGAAGCTATTTTCTGAGAGGTATAAAAAGAAATGCATGCCAGAGCTGCCTAGTTAATGTGTTATATCTGAGTATTATTTATAAACCTGCTTTAAAAGACTGTTTTAGTCTACAGATGAATAATGAAAGCTACTATAACACACACAACTGAAAAGAATGTGTCTTTAATGATTCTCAAGTGCTTATAAACACACATTAAATACTAGGTATAAAAGGATTAATACCTGTACCTAAGATACTTGCAACAAAATGTAAGATAAGACTTAAAATTAAGGTCACTTAATGAAGCTGCCTTAATAAAATAAAAAGGTCTGTAATTAGTATAAATTTCATGTTTGTTCAAATTATTAGGAATAACGCCACCTAATGTTTTGTTGGAAGTAATCCAGTGTTTTCACTAACGTACGTGTAGCAAAAGCTATAAATAATGGATCCACATTTGAAAGCAGGACAAGAGTGAAAGAAACATTTGGCTCAGCAATAAACAGCATTTTAAAATACCATCTAACTACCACTCTCAGACCCTGCTTTTTTAAAGAGCGGCTGCCACTACTGCATTCCTTGGCAGGGACCTACCATGCTGCTGCAGGTCATACTCTTTTTTTGTCTCTTCGTTCCCTAGAATTTTCCATGCTTGATCGATTTCGATGAACCTCTGTACACGCTCCTCCACTTCTCCTGCTGGCACATCTGCCTTCTGCTTGTCTGGATGATACTGCCCATCACACAAACAAACAGAAAGATGAAAAAACAAAGTTGAGGGGAGCGAAAGTGAGGAGGGTGGAAGAGGAGCAATCAATAATGCATTTGATATTCAGTTAAAAGGACAGAGAAAAGGAGAAGGTCTGAGGTAAGGTGCCAAAGGAAGGGAGACAACGATGCTGGGCACAAGAGAAAACTGCCAATTTAATTAGACCACTGAAATGGCAACAAAACACCAGTGGCACAAATGTCACCATGCACACTGACGGCATTTTCTGGGTAATTTGCTGATGGAATCATTGGTCTTATGGACAATTTACCTAGAGAGAATGACTACCACAAGCAGAAATAGGTACATGCAGAGGAGCACAACACAGGAACAAGAGGAGGTGCTTTAAGTGCTAGCAGCTCTCTGAGTATTACACACAGATGATTCAAACAATACCACCAATGTTTAGTTAGGGCTATCACAGGCAGATTGAATGCTGCATCACATGTGCCTAGCATTTTTAAAAAAATATCATTTAAGTAGTAAAGAGAATATACGTGATCAGATATGATACTACATGCAATTCTGGTTTTGAAAATATGCCTCAACATCTTTAATTTCTTCCAGTTCAGTGAATCAATAGCCCTTCCAAATATTTAAAGTCGTGGATCACTGGCTACAAAATTCTGTCATTTTAGTTAAGAAATGGTTATTCAAGGACATGACTGCAAGAAATCCGACATTAAATGGCAATAATAATTGAAATAGTATCACATTTTCTCTACCATTCATTCTAAACGGAGCATTCCAGCTGATGCTTTTAGTAGTCTACGTCTACACTAAGCAAAAGCCCCAAACTTCTGCTCTTTCACTGTAATCCTCTTCATACCCTTCTCCATCTGAGACAATGAACAACATGTCCTTGCTCCAGTTCTTTTAGGCCCTGCTCAGCCTGCTGAGACACCAACCACAGGACACCTTACCAAAGTGTTAACCAGCCTAATAGATGAAGTTCAGAGAGCACTCTGATATCCTCCATCAGTACTTTAGACACTAATCAATCAATACTCTTGTTTGGCATCTTCCCTTATTCTTGGTTACTGTATATTTGCTTCTGATGCTCCTCCCTCTCCATTATACCCTTCATAGGAGCTGCCTCAACAGAGCCAGGGGTTTGGATTTGTACTGAGGGACGTGAAATATGATGCATGTTTCTGACCTCCTCCTCTTTTCCCATTCAGCCTTATTTCAGGGTTAATCTCTGCTGCAACCGTGCACAAGTTCTGTAATGAAAACAGACAAGCCTGTTTTCTACTCGACCTATCTCCTTCTCCTCAAACTGAACTATTGCTCATCTCTCCCTCTGTGCATCCAGTTATAAGTTCTTCCTCAAAATGTTAGAGCCACCCAATGTCTCCTGCAATATCACTTCTCAAAACCTGTGCAAATTATCTTTGTGTCACTCATACCTGCCACCTGAGCACTATTTTCAGCTCTATTAGTGTACTCAGGAACTACCTATATCTTTCTGGCTGCATAAACAGTGTTTTTAAGAAGCGATGCTTTCATAAATATAGCTTTTCACTGAGCACATATCCTGATTTTTGAAGACAGCACTAATTTTTACTAATATTACTACTTAATAGGCTTTTATAAAAACAATAAAGGATATTTTCCTGAGCCTCACAGAAGGTAAAAGGAAGAAGGTTAGAGATGTCTGCCCAGTCTAGTTTTCCTTTTTTTTTTTTTAACCTCTAGTAGAAGTAAATTTCTAACTTATTTCCATTACTAAAGACTGTCTGGAATTTATATCAGTTTATAGCAGATGATGCTTTGTAGTTACTGTGAACATTAAAAAACAGTCCAAAGCTTAAATGAAAAAAACTTTAAACGTTGTCTGTTGGAGACCTGGTGAATTTTTTAGTGCTGCAGGAAAGCAAACTTAACCTGCTGACCTTTTCAATTACAGTATCAGTATTATGCCTTTCTAAAACAACTGTATTTAGCTGTCTTATTTTTAATATGCATCAGACTGTACTTATCACCTGACAAATACGCTCTAAAAACACAGATACAGGTTCAGTTCATGGTTGTGTAAGTATCATGGAACACCTTAGTTTAAGTAAATGAATTGTATTTCATTATTCTAATCTATTGGCTTTGATACCAAGCAAGTGAGCAAACCTTTTTGGTCTTGGGAAAAATACAGTGTTTATATTGTTATGTTCACCAAATAAAGCGTAGACCCTGAAAACTACTTGAGTTCTATCATGTATTTGATTTATACAGTCATCATTTTACTTATTCAGTGTACAACACATAGCTTTCACCCACAGGGTTTGTGTAAGAATTTGGAACACACTGTAGCACATTCAACTGCTGTATTTTTTATTTCTACCTACTTTGTACTCCATGAAGTTTGGACCCTGCAAAATTAACCCCTGGACTTTAATCCCTGAAAATTAGTAAAGACCTTTTGGTCAGTAACTGTATTATGTCTCAATAACCATACTAACAAACCTTAAGAACTCTCTTATCACAAGATGAGACACTACCAGGTCCCTATCCTCCTAACACTTGTACGAGTTGCTTAACTTTATGCAATAAATGTAATAGGGTTGATTGACTTTAATCAAATTCAAATAAGCAAGCAGAAAACGTTGAGTTAAATCAATTTAATGTACATTTCTTACTGGCACTCATGAAGTTATTTTTCAAAAGGAATTTACAACACCCAATAAGAATCAACTTAATTCGACTTATTGGGAATGAAAGAGTGAAGCACACAGGCATAGATAAGTTTTACACTAAATTTGCAATCTCTTGCTAAACTGTGGAATACATGGTAAATAAACCACTCAATATAGTCAAACTTTTACTCATAACTACTTTTCCACATCACAAATTAAAAAGGCTGATTATTTGAAAAAGGTTCAGAAAGTACTATTCCTTCTCATTTATTACTTAATACATCATCATGGTCATTTTGCCTTGCGTATAAGGGGTATTCATTTTAAAAACAAAAGATGCCCCACATGTCCAATTCCATTCATCAAAACAGGTGGCTTTATTTTCTACGAAAACTATTACTTCTTCCAAATATTTATGAAAAGTACTATCATTTACTACTATGTATTGCACAGATAACTAAAGAATTCCCCCTCCCCCTAAAATTACACAACTTTCAAGTAAGCATGTTTAAAATGTAAATATTCTAATTTTTCCTGACTGAGGAAAATTAAGTAGATCAGCTCTATTTTCCCAATTTTTTTCTTTTCTTTTTTTTTTTTTCCCCTCCAGGATTAGAGTAAGGACTACTCTCCACTTTCCACAGCTTTATCTTTCCTAATTTCCCACATTTCATGCAAAGCTGTCAAACAGTAGGAGGAATCCTAAGCAGCAAATAAAAAGTAATATAAAAAGGGCGAACCAGATGTGGCTGCATTAAAACTTGACCTTCTCTCCCAAGACAATATTTTCAAGGAAATATTTTCAGGGGTTTTTATTCTTCTTATATGCCTTTTAGGGTTTTCTTTTTTTGTTTGTTTGCTTGTTGTTTTTTTTGGTAAGGGAAACCATTATTAAGGTTCTAAAAAGTCAAAAGTAAAGACCAACACAGGACAATGATGAAACTATTACAATTGAATAAAAAGTGAGACTATTCTGGACTTACCATCATGAGTCATAAAGTAACCACTAAGCATCCGTACTACCAAGTTACAGCATAATAAATTTCTAAACTATCAGATTTTATTAAAGATTTTTAACTCTGAAATTATCTACAGGCTCCTGGAATCACCTTGCTAAATTAAACTGACAAGTTGAGACAACTCTTGAATTCCTGTTTTATTTCAACAGGGGATGCGTGCCTATGTTTGACTAAGAGACGTATTTAAAGCTAGAGATGTGCCCTAAGTTCCTGAATAAATCAAGTGGTTTTTAACAGGGGATTCCTTTACTTACATGCATTTAAGTACTTGTGCTTTTGTAGGAACTACATCTAATGACTAAATCTAAGCTGTAAATAAGAGTCAATGATAGAATACTAACATCTAAACTTAACAATTAACTCAGTACGCCTTAGCATCCTCTGTTTCTCCATGTTAGACATACAGTATTAGCTATGACAGCCTTATAGCCTGACAGTATTTGTTTGATGTAATGCAACTAGAACTAAGATTTCCAGCCAAGTATGGATAATCTTTTTCTTTTTACTTTTCATCACAGCAAAAGTTAACAGGAAGCCAGTTTTCATGACCTGCACTACAACTACTGTAGCTCTTGGAATTTGTAAAAAGAATGATGTTAAAAAATATCCAGTGGTGAAAGACACTCTGTAATGGTCAGGGAAGAGAAATTCAACCCAAAGTTTACAAATGCAGCGCTACTCCATGTCAGCTGAAGCTACCACTCTGATGAACGACAGAAATTAGAATCACAATCAGAAGAGGTAAATGTCACGAAATTGGTTTGCAAAGGGTTGGCTGGATTAACACTGCAGAAGTGGAAGTCACCATGGATAAGCATCAGATAGTATGAGATAACAGCAGTACACAGCAATGACATCCATTCCCACTGATAGAGTTTATTAATGACAGCAAGTGGACACAGAATTGGATACTCCATTGCTCAGAACAGAACGAGAGGGGAGAAACACTGGAAGCAGCTGGAGGAAGAGAGAAAACCAAGCTGTTATTTTCAAATAACGTTGCCATACTCATGGCTGGGAATCCAGCAGAATGAGACTTTGCCTCCTCACCAGAACTGCACACGCTTTTGAAGAAATCACATTATCAGTATTTGAGAGCTTCCATCTATTTATTCTTGTATCAAAAGCTCCATAGTGAAGAGGCAATGTATTCAAATTTCAGAATCAGAATTCTCTCTCGGAATCAATATATGACACTTTATCTAGTTAATAAATCTAAACTATTATCAACTCCACATTATAAGTTAAAATTCTGACAAAGATGAAATAGGTACAAGCAAGCAGAACAGAAATCCTAACAAACAGGCTTGGTTTA